GCCGTAGAGCAATCGTAACCACTGTCACACCTGAATACTGCAGCGAATGCAGCTGCTGCACTGCTGCAGCACTCAGAATAGGGCGCCTCTCAACTCCATATATGGGGGCCCCCCCCTTGGGGGCCCCCATGGGGGCCCCCCCCTGCGGGGCCCCCCCAGGGGGCCCCCCATCCCTTTCACTTTGCAAGCGGGGGGGTAAGGGGCCCCCTTGGGGGGCCCCGTTAGGAACCGCCTGGAGGGTCCCTGGGGGCCCCCCGAGGGGGGCCCCCAGGGAGGGCCCTTGAAGGGCCCCTGGGGGGCCCCCCAGGGGGCCCCCTGGGGGGCCCCCTGGGGGGGCCCCTTGGTTGTATTTGTTTGGGCCTAGTATTTGTGCTAGATGTTTGGGGTGTATGGTGAGGAGTACGTGGCGAGCATAGATAAAAGAAATGCGTTTGTTGGTGGCTACAGTAGCTAGGAAGCCAGCTGTCTCCTTTTTATAGTCAGAGAGAGGAGACAGAGAAAGGAGACAGTGCTGCAGCAGCAAACTGCTGCTGGGGAGAGAGTTCTTTAAACATATTGCGAGAGATTGGAGGCCCCCACGCAAAGAAAGTACCCGGGGGGCCCCACTACCCCCAGCAGGAGACCATGTCTCTGTCTCCTTCCTCCTGCTGCTGCTGCTGCTGCTGCTGCTGCTGCTCCCTGCTGCTGCTGCTGCTGCTGCTGCTGCTGCTGGTGTATTTGTTGTTGTGTTTATTTTATTTATTATATTTTTTATTAGGGTTCGGATGAGGCCTTTATCTATAAAGTGTTTAAGCGAAGGAAAACCAAAAGAGATAGATACAGCTGAAGCAGGAGCTGCGTATACACCTGAAACCATACACCCCACAACCTTTCTAGCTGTCTCCTCCCCCAACACTCGGGTTATATACTCTTCAACTGAGAGGCCCCCATCATCCTCTTCTCCCCCCCCCTGCTGCTGCTGCTGCTGCTGCTGCTGCTGCTGCTGCTGCTGCTGCTGCTGCTGCTGCTGGTTGGTGGTGGGGTTGTTGTGTGTTTGTAGTTTAGGTTTGGGTGCTGCAGCAGCAAGCCAGGGCTCAGCCCCCAGCAGCAGCCCCTTAATAAGTTTAATTTTTGCATGCATAGAGAGAAGAGGAGAAGAAAGTAAAGAAAAAAAACTGTGGGGTAGCGGGAGGAGACGATCCCCAGCAGCAGCAAAGCGGGGGGCCCCTGCTGGTGCCAGCAGCAACGAAGAAGAAAGCTGCAGCTGCTGCAGCAGCCTATACACCTCAGCTGTTGCTCTGAAACTATTCGCCCCACACTCGTATAAAAAACTCCCGCTGCTGCTGCTGCTGCTGCTGCTGCTGCTGCTGCTGCTGCTGTTGCTGCTGCTGCTGCATGCAGAGACACGAGACTGGAGACAGCCCCCGACTTCTTTTGCTGCTTCTATTACACAAAAGGGTTTTATATCACCTAAACCCTCAAACCCTAAACCCTCAAACCCTAAACCCTCAAACCCTAAACCCTCAAACCCTAAACCCTCATCTCCAGCAAAAAAAAACTTTTTCTTTTCGCTGCTTTCATACGCACGCTGCAGTGTATGCGCAGCTGTCAGCCCCGTCAGACCGCCACCAACTATCAACACACCAACACGCATGGGGGGCCCTGGGGGCCCCCCATCTGCTGCTGCTGCTGCTGCTGCTGCTGTTGCTGCTTCTGCTGCTGTAGATACAGAAGGAGGAGGAAAGAGAGGGGTATACTGACCCCATGATGGAGATACGACAGAGGAAGCTTCCCCTGCTGCTGCTGTTGCTGCTGGTGGTGTTGCTGCTGCTGTTGCTGCTGCTGCTGCTGCAGGTGTTGCTGCTGCTGCTGCTGCTGCTGCGGTTGACAGCAGCCGAGGAGGAGAAGAGAGACAGACAGCGCTCCCCAGACCCCTCTGAAGTGCAGTATGTCGGTGTATAGGCAAACGAAGCATCATAGACAATCTCCTGCTGCAGCTGCAGCTGCAGCAGCAGCAGCAGCAGCAGCAGCAGCAGCAGCAGCAGCAGCAAGCAGTTGTATGCAGGGGCCAGAGAGAGGGTGGAAGGTGGTGCCTTCGGACTCTGTGTTATTTCTCTACAGTCGCCTCAGCAGTTTTTCAAGAAAAAAAAAACAAAAAAAAAGAAAACAAATAAAAAAGGAAGAGGCGGGGGGGCCCCTCGCTATACTGTTGCCGCTGCACAGCACCGCATGCAAAGAAGGCTGGGGGCCCCCACCGCCGCGAGAAGAAAGAAGCAGTAGCAGCACAGAACCCTCACCTTCTAATCCTTTACATAAAAAAAAGAAAACAAAACAAAAAAGGGGATCGGATCCCACGCGGATACCACACTGGCTTCGGTACGGGGGCCCCCCGGGGGGCCCCCCGCGTGGCTGCAGAATGCTGTGGTGCTGAACCCTGCAGTGAAGCAGTGTGAGAGAAGTA